ATTTGAAATAACAGAGTGAAACTGCACATGTAGACACCTACAACATTCTTTAAAAGTCCATCCATTCTCAGAGATGATCACTGTTTATATTTGTAAATTTATTATTAAATGTCCTTTAAAAATTATTTTCAAAACATGACATAGTAGATACTGTCTTTATTAATAAAACAGGCAACAAAACCTGATGCTTTATCTGTTACTTCTTGGATAATGAGAGTTATCTTAGTTATTTTCTTCTTGGAATGAAGCATTTTTGAAAGGTATCATTTTTGAGAATGTGATTGGTTATTTTAATATGTGCTTTTTGTTTTAAATTATAGATTGATTGTGTCCTGTTTACCCTCAATGGAGTTCCTGCATGGAATCTGATGGATCAAGACAACGTTATGTTTCTCACCATATGCTTTTGTTGGCATTATGTAGTAAGCTTTATCATCATTGGAGCACATTATGCTTTTGTTACCTGGTAAGTTAGTGATTTCTGTTCATGGACATTCTCTTTCTTGGTATATGATCATCAAGGCTCAATAACATTGAATTTAAAATTCAAGTGGGGATTTCATTCCTCACCATCCCACCAGATAGGGTAGCATAACAGAAAATTATCTGTAAACACAGAAATTTCCAGTAAAAGGAATAAATGCTTTTATAACCTTGGAATAGCTCAACAGTATCTATGCTGTTCTTTAGACCCATGCATTTCTTGTCAGTGCACTCTTCTATGTCTCTCTGTCTTTGTATATGCTACTTACTCTTCTGAATGGTCTCCCCACCCACCACCTGCAGTGAGGCCTCTAGTTACCCAGATGTGCATCCTGCAATTATAGCACTTCTTAAGCTTGGAGTCAGTTTTTGACCAACATGCATGTGTCTCACTGAATTTGAGTGCCTGATTAATTTGGCATTGACTCTAATGTGTTTAAAAGTAACATTCACGGGGGTGGGGAACCAAGGGCAACACACGTAACCTAAACATCTGTACCATGGGGAGGGCGGCGGGAGGAGCGGGGAGGAGGGAGGAGGAGACGGGTATTTGTATACACAAGGAGTGCAATGCGCACTACCCGAAGGATGGACATATTTGAAACACGGACTTCGGGGGGGCGGGAAACCAAGGGCAACACACGTAACCTAGACATCTATACACCCATAACTTGCTGAAATAAAAAAAAAAAATTGCAAAAAAAAAAAAAAGTAACATTCAGTTGAATAATACATTTTTTTACAAGGACCCCAATATAATGTTTCATGAGTGGGTGAGGAGCAGTATAATAGATCGATAAGAACACATATTCCTAGCTCCACTGTCTATCAGCTGAATGACTTTGGACCATTTAGTTAACCACATTAAATTTCAGTTTTGTTTTTCACTAGTGCAGATAATGATAATACATAAAGGAGATCATGTACTTAAACTGCTTAGGACATAATGAGATCTTAATAAATGTTATTGTCTCCTTGTTGTTCTTGTTGCTCTTGTTGTTATTCTCCTCTTCCTCTTCCTTCTCCTTCATTTTTGGTATCAAAAAAATGAATGAAGTATAGACCCTGAGCATGAGGAATTTTTAGACATATAATTAGGACTAAATTAGAGAGACAGACAATCAAAATATAGTGTAATAAATGGAAATAGTAGAAGAATAAAGGCACTATTGGAGCTCAGGGGAGGTGTCCCCACAGCTGAAAATGAAGCTGCAGTTTGAAGAATGAGCAGGAATAGAAAGGGGTGGTCACAGTTCCTCTCTCTAAGGTGGTTAATGCTAAACCACAATGGGCTTGGCTGATCCCAGTTACTAGGCAGAAAGGCTCTAGCGCCTAATCCTTCAGACTTCAGTGCTGATCAATATCTTCTATGCCTGCATGTTCTCTATCTACAGCGTTCAATATGGTAGCCACTAGCTATTGAGCAATTAATGTGGCTGGTGCTACATTAATTTTAATGAATTTAAATATCCATACATGAATACCGGCTACCATATTGGTTACTACCCACCAGCACGTTCATTAGATTCCTGAAATGCAGTAGCTGCTTCTAGGCCTGTGGGATCTTAGCCTCTGTGGGCACCAACTTTCCACTCTGCTCTCTAGACATGGGCCTCAGGTCACCCCTCCTGCCTGTGCTTCTTTATGCTTACCTGCTAAAGCAACTCTGGTGCTGAGGCTCTGACTGAAGAAACTGCTTCCTTGTCTGTTTGGCCTCGGGTCAGCCCACTTTGATTTGTAGTTGCTTTCTTGTAGAGGTCCAAGTGCTTTGGGTGCTAGGACATTCTACCTTCTTACTGACTGATTTCTATCAGTCCCATTCCATTCCCTGAAAGCATGCACATGAGCTCATTGTCAAGGCTGGCTCTGCCATTGTGTGAAACTTGGCTTCTTTCCCTGTTATTCTAGGTTGACATCTCAGCATCATCTCCTTAGGGGTTGCACAGCCTCTGAGAACAGTGCCAGCATTCGAGGAAATGCTCTCCTTCATGTCAGCTCCCCTCCAGGGCCCAAAAAAGAGTACTGTCTCTTCCTGTTTCAAAAACCTTCCGACCCCTAATGAACCTCTTATCCACTTATAGTTCTCTAGATCCTGGAAGCTCCATTTTTACTTTTCATCCTCCCCACCCCCATCTGTTACTCTAATCTTTTTGACCATGCAGTTCCCTCTACATGCCATATCAACATTAAATGCACAATTCAGTGAAACCTTCTGTGATTCCTGTAGCTCTTGCTCATCTCCCTTTGAGAGTTTTACAGTACTTAGTCTCCACCATACATTTTAACAATTGTGATCTCTTTCGTCATGTTTGCTATTAGCTCATGTGTCTTAGTCTTATCTGCTGGCTAGATTCTGTCTCCTTGAGAAAAAGACCCTTTCATATGTCCCACACCTTTTGGAACAGTGCCAAATATATTGTACATTCTCAATAAACCCTTGTTTGCTATTTTAATAGAACTATGTAGCCTAAGTCAATATAGGCTTCATTTGTTTGGAAATCATGTTTTATATGCTTTTCCGTTTTGCTCTCATATTGCTCTTGGAAAGATAAGACCAACAGTTCAATTTTTCTGACACATTTTAATATAAACTTGAGCAAAAGCCTAAAAATATCATGGAGCTTCATCATTGCCTTTTGATGAGGTCACATGGCCGGCTAATCCAGTCCTGTAATCATAAGGAACCTTGAAGAATCTGTTGGTCAAGATTTCACTGCAGAGTGGTTTGCAACTTATCCAAAAGTGTATCAGAATTTGTTTGACATAGCACAGAGATCACCCTGGAATCACAACTGGGTTAAGGAACTCTGAAAAGTTAAGCTGTACTTCCCAACCTTCCAGAACAACGGTTTAGGATTGCCTCATCCAATTCCATGCCTGCAGCTTGATTATGATAGGTCATAGGTGAGAATTGTTTGGAAATCTTATTGCATGTTTTACTGTATCTCTCATGTAAACCCCACTGTTGCACATAACTATTTCAAAAACCTTTCTCTATAGGTAGGGAAATATTACCCAATTGCAGGTTAGTTTTCCAAGCAACAATTCATGTGAATAATTTTGAAGAATGAAATAGGGATGCCTAAATTTCAGGCATGAGATAGTTTTGTGGAAGTACACCTATTATCTCAGTTATGCACTTTCTCATATTAGTTGAAGAGAACATATGGGAGGAAAAGCATAGGCATACTCCGACACTAGTTTCCTGGATTTGTGCCATTCCAGTAACTGGCAATTATTCACACATCCTCTTTTTTACCTCATCGGTCAATCTGCCCCAGGTGGCCATTTCTGCATGTGTACACACCTGTAGCTACAGGCGGCAGATAGAGCCTGGTTAAGGTGTCTGAACATGTGCCAGCCTGGTGACTTGAAGCAACAGCACATACAACCCAGAGAGGAGAAATGAGAAAGAGGAGGAGTGATCACTAGGGTCTATGTTAACAATTAATTTGTAATAAGCAGCCATGTCTTTGTTTTATTTTCCACAAGAGTCATAAACAGTAAATAAGATGAGATCCCTGCTCTTTTGAAGCTTATATTCTAGTAAGATCCAGAGCACAAGCAAAGGCATTACATATTGATCGTGACAGACTAGTCTTTCATCAGAAGAAGAAGGATGTTAGAAAATAAGGGTAAAGATGCAGGTGGGATAGTGAAGTTTTTCATAAAAGGAGTGTGATATTGGTGATTTGGTTTATCAAGTTTGTTTGCAGATTCCTATGTATTTCTGGAAGTTAACTATGTTTTCTTGACATGATCACAGTATAATGTCTTTGTAATAATCATACATAGGAAAATCTTTGCCTAGTTCTTATGACATACTCTTTTTCTCACATCAGAGAAGTGGAGCACTTGCGGAGCTTCTGCTAAGAAGCTTCACACCTTCCAATTTCAAAAATTATAATTGCTGCTTCCCTCCAACCTACACATTCTTTTAAGGTATGAAAACAGTCACAAGAATGGAGGTCACCTCTTTGCACTTCTTAATTTATCATGGACAGGGCCAATCACATGCAGTGGAACATCCTGTGCTCTGTACAAAAGCACCTTCTGAAGAGGCTAGTAGGGGGCTGAAGTTTAGCCCAGACTTGACATGGGGCTTGACTTGGGCTGCCAACCCTAGGGAAGGGGAGGACTTCATGCACTTCCTCTACAGGAAAGGGCACTTTGGCAATACACAGCCAGGTGTGGCTTTGATGGAGAAGATCGACTCAGCTTGGTTTCATCTGGACTTGATTTTGTTTTAGAAATGATTAAAGTTATCTTCTGATGCCTAATTAAACAATCATGCAATGTATGCAAAAGCCACAGTGCATCTGTTTACTTATACCCTGCTTTCATCCACAAAAATTTCAGGTGGCTCCAAAGGCAAATAAAAGTGATTTTCCTTTTTGAGATGCCCCCTCATTTGCCCAAACAATCTGAATAATCTGGAGTTTGTTGTATCACAGATGTATTGCTCTGGCCCCTATTTCAAACACCATCTAACTAGGGATGCCTTTCTTTCTCCTCAGGTTGGTTAAGTCTAAACTTAAGAGGCTCTGCCCCTCAGAAGTTGGACTCCTAAAAAATGTTGAGCGAGAACAAGAATCAGAAGAAGAGATGTGATTTGGACGGACATCCAGTCTTTCTAGATAAACCTTTTCTTTTTTGGATTGCTGTTCATGGTTTTGTTTCTTGACCTTTTGTTTGGAGAGCTGGCTAAGGATGTCTCTCAGTGTACTGTTTGTATTTCCAATTTTGTCGAAGTATTTGAATTTAAATGTTTTATTTTTAGCTCTGAACATATGTTGGGTGATAAGTTCATTTTGCACATCATACACAACATACTATTCAGGGGCTAGAGGGACTTTTTCCAGGTCATCTACAGTTTCATGCCCACAGTATAAAAAAAATTTGTTTTATTTGCCTTATAGATAAGCTCAAGGTTTAGGGGCTTGTGACCATCTGTAACTTGTTGAACATGGAGTTACACTTGTTTGTCTTGTTGCTACAATGAGAAATAAAGGAATACATGCAACTTGGTGCAGACGCCTCTAGTCTTTGTTTTTGTTATTTAACTACGCCCCACCCTTACATCATGCAGAAGAAGCTGCAGACACAGAAAATCCTTTTTGTGAGATATTTCTCTCTGTAGCACCTGAGTTCTCCCTGGGAAAAGGAGGCCAGCAGAGTCCTCCTAAGGTGTGTGGTCTTTCAGAGAAGATAAAAGGATGATCCCCAGGACACGTGATTGCAAAGCCATTCGAGACCTGGAAAGGAGAGTTGTAGTGTTACCTGTAAGAGTAAAAAGTCATCACACACCATAACAGGGCCACCATGGCATCCACTCTGTTAAAACAGTTCAAGGGGTAAAATGAGGAAAAGCCTTTTATGGAGTACATGGGTAAGAAGTTAGGAACCTTACCTAGTCCATGGGCTAGGCAGCACCTAGTGTAGAGTTAAGAACTCTTGTTTCTAATTCTGGCTCCACCATTAACCAGCCTTAGGTCTGTAGTAATCACCATGTCTTTCTCTCTAAAGTAAAGGAATTGAATTGAATGAATCATGGGTCCCTTTTGCCTGTCATGTTATATGAATCTAGAAATGGAAGCACGTGGACAGCTAATGTCGTACAATGCCAGTCAGAAAGGCCAGTCTCTGCTGCGACAGAAAGGGAAGGAGGACTGCAAGAATCTTTGAGGGATGGAGGAAAGGAGGCAGCCTCATGGGCAGCTGGAGCTGAGACATGGACAGCTAAATCCTGGAGGCTCCCTGGCATTCCAGAAGCACTGACAAGCCCAGAAGACTGCCCAGGCTGATGTATGTCACAGTGACACTGAAGAGTCACGTGAATGGATTCTTCAGGCTCCAGAACTAGACAGATTGATCTTGTCACATAAATATGAAAAGAGCAGATGTGCGTGCCTAAAGGTTTATCTTGAATAATGCAATTAACTTTGGAACATTTCTGGCATATGAAAATGCCCACATGCCACAGTCCTCAGGGCATCATGGCATCCCATCCCATGTGTGTCCTATTTCTCAGGGCTCTTTTCTACACCTGCAAGATTATATGAGTTTGGCAAGTTTGGGTCAAAGGTGTGAGCAAGTGGTCCGCTACAGTTACTTGACACTGGCATTCCTGGTATGTAGGCCTGAGCAGGGACTCTGAGCAGCAGATAATTAGCATGAACCGGACTAAGCCTGGAGTTTTGAAAACTGATAAGTATAAATATTCTACACTGTTATGAGAGAGAAGAAGTGTCCACTCTTCTAGTCTCTGCTTATACAAGTGAGATGCAACCTGGTGAGTTCTCAGAGGAGGACCATTTGGGTCAGGTCTAAGTCCACAGTCTGGGGCTAACTGCCTCGAATTCCTGAAATGAGCAATAAATTTGAATATCATTATTGTAAGTTTATAGTTATGTTAGTGGATTTATGTTTGATGACTACCATTTTTGTGGAAAGACATGAAAATTAGCAAATTGTGAACTTGAGCCAAAATGGGAGAGTCTTGTATTTTCTTTACATTGTGCTGGGAAGTCTAAAGGCACTAAATTGAATTTGTAAGTATTTCGATTTATAAAGAACTGTATCTCAGTAAATTGTCTGAAACCATGAAATATATTTTATAACAAAAATACACAAAGTTTTCAAGTCTAGAACATGGGATGAGGAAAATCAGTTCCAGGCTACGCTTATCAATCTGTGGGAACCAATGGACTGTTTCATTTAATGAATGTTGATTCAGAAGTTACCATGTGCCAAGCAGCGTGCAATAAACTGGGAATACGGTGTTACCCAAGCCAAAGTTTGTCCTCATCAAACTTACATTCCCACAGGAGAAACACAGTAACAAAGTCAACAAGTAACTTCTATAATTTGAGGCAGTAATAGGTGATATGAAGAAAACCAAAGCTGGGAAGGAGAATAATGAAGGGCGGGGTGGGGTAAGGCCACTTTTCTTAGGGTGGTTCTTTCCTAGAGGTGCTTCTCTGACCCCCTTGGGAAAATAGCCCCACCACCCATCCCTTTCTCTCATTAAATTAGTGTTTACATGTGTCCAAAGCCTTTAGCTCTGAAGGAGAAACTTTTATTAAAGAAGTATCACAAGAATCAAACAAACAGCATGTGTACTTACCATTAAATTGCAACTAATCAAGCAACATTTATGTGCACATATCAAAATAAAACTCACTGTACGTCTAGCATGTGGGAAGGGGAGGAGGGAATGAGTAAATTCACACCTCACAGGTACAGTGCACACAATCCGGGTAATGGGCATACTTATAACTTTGACTCAAACTGTACTGAAGCAATTTATGAAACCATAACATTTGTACCCTCATAGTACTCTAAAATAAAATTTAAAAATATAAAGAAGGAATGGGGATGGGTGTTTACTCCTTTCTTTTTTTTTTTGTTTTTTTTTTGAGACAGAGTCTCACTCTGTTGCCCGGGCTAGAGTGCTGTGGCGTCAGCCTAGCTCACAGCAACCTCAAACTCCTGGGCTCCAGCGATCCTCCTGCCTCAGTCTCCTGAGCAGCTGGGACTACAGGCATGCACCACCATGCCCGGCTAATTTTTTCTATATATTTTTAGTTGTCTGATTAATTTCTTTCTAATTTTAGTAGAGACGGGGTCTCGCTCTTGCTCAGGCTGGTCTCGAACTCCTGAGCTCAAACAATTCGCCCGCCTCAGCCTCCCAGAGTGCTAGGATTACAGGCGTGAGCCACCGCGCCCGGCCTTACTCCCTTCTTTATATTTGATTTTGTCTCAAGTCTTCCAAAAACATGGGGTCTCAATTCTTGAACTTTGCCAAGCTTTCTTTGTGAGTACCCCATGCTTCATTTGTCACACCCAAAATGGAATAACCCTTTAAATAAGTCAGTGCATGATTTCTAGTGCAGTTGTCAGTGTAGGCAGGACTGAGGGACATTTTACAAACATACAAAGCCTGTGGATTGAAAGGCTCTGTGATCACGTACATGGGAACATGAGGGGTGGGGGCTGATTATTATGCAATATCAACGGTGGGTGTTGCTGTGATACCAGCTCCTCAGTGATTTCTACAATCTCCAATCTCCTTTGCCTGGGAAACTGCGATCTCTGATTGCACAAATTCCCAGCACATTGCTGAAATGGGAGGCGAGGCCATGACCACACTGGTATACCCTTTCTTGTCATTTCTTCACTATAGGAGCTCGTTAATCAAGGCTGTATTGATTATATCTTGGATGTGGATTAATAGGGTGAAGTAGGAGTCACTAGGTGCTAGGAGAACAATGAATTCTTCTAAAATACAAGAAAACAATAGATAAAAATTACGGAAGTCCAGGTATGATGGCTCATGCCTGCAATCCTAGCACTTTGGGAGGCAGAGGCAGGAGCATCTGTTGAGGCCAGGAGTTTGAGAACAGCCCGGGCAATAGCAAGACCCCGTCTCTACAAAAGTATTTTTTTAAAAAGTACGAAGGAAAAGTTAATACACATGAATAATATATCCAGAAATTCTATATTCTGTCTCATGTGAATGCCAGAGAAATTGATAGAAGAGAGGACAGGCATGAAATAATATAAAAGAGTTTCCCTAAATAAATGGTAATGAAGGGGAATTTTTGCTTTAAGCTTGGAGGGGCACTTTCGAGAGATGTGCAGTGGAGAGAGTGATTGGATTTCTGGACTAAATCAGTAAAAATTTAAGAACTTAGTTCTTTATTATACTTTTAAGTTCAATTTATGAATATTTTATCCTATTCTTAAGTCTAGCAATTTTTAATGCCCATTTTTTTAAAAATTCCCAACTATTAAGGGGGTACAAATGTTTTTGGTGCATGAATGCCTAGTATAGTGCTTAAGTCAGGGTTTTGGGTGTGTTCATCACCCAAATAGTGTTCATTGTACCCGATAGGTAGGTTTTTACCCCTTCACTCCATCGCCCCCCCTTCTTGATTTCCAGTGACCATCATATCTCTCTGTGCCCATGTGTGTCCATCGATTAGTTCCCACGTATTACAGGGTACATGTTAACGCCAAATTTTAAGGAGTCTTTAATGTTTGGGTGCAGTCTTAAACTTAAGCAATTAGATTTTCCTTTAAACATTTTAACACATTGGCTGCCATGCAGAAAACCCAGAATCTTTTCTATGGGGCCTGAGTGTTTTATTATTACAAAAATAGAATAAAAACTTCGAGTGTAATTTAAACGTAAACATAAATAGAAAAAAATTATTGACTTCTATTCATTTAATCCACATTTTTAGAATTAAATTGTCAATATTAATTATAACAATGTGAACTTCAACAAATAAGATTTTATATATGCTTCACATGGTCCTGGGGTCAAAACTAGAGTGAGTTAAATACAACTCTCATGGCAGTTAATGTGTTAAATTGTATTTATGAGTTAAATATTTTTAATAGCCTCCGTAAGTACTTAAATTAACGGAAGTTAATTAATTCCCAGGTTCTTAAGTTATTCTTACAAATCTTATTTATTAACCTAATGTAGTAACATACATTAATTTATTAAACTTATAAATTTGGTGCAACTTAAGTTTTCTTACATATTCCAATATTGTGTAAAACTTAGTGAAAATAAAATAAAATCATAAGCCTAGATTTGTTACTCAATTGCACATTTATAAATTAGGCTTACAAGGATAGACAAAATAATTTTGAAAATTACAAATACTTAAAATACTAAACATGCGCAATCCCTTAACACAAAATATTGGTATTGTGGTCTTGAATCTCTTAAATGATTCTGTACTTAATTCTAAATCTTTTTATGTTAAAATAGGCTTGTTATTAAGGAAGTGATTTGTTTCTGGCAGGCAATGTTGGTGAATACCTAGTCAGCTGATGAGGTATTAACCCAGGGATGTCAAATGGGACAGGATTCTTAACAGTGACTATAATGACGCACCTGAATTCTGTTTATAGTTACACATCAAATCCTACACACAGGTTGGGTCCCAGGCTTTCAGGCACAGGGAGGGCACCTTCTTGAGTTGAGTCATAATTACTTGTCTTTTATGCCTACTCATGAAAA